CGTGGGGAGCACGGCGGAAGCAGCGAAGCAGCAGTGGCAAACAGAAGGCGTTGCCGGCGCATCGCGCGGCTTGCGGCGGCCAAGTGGCCAACGAGGCCGCGAAGGAGTCGCGGGCGCGGCGGGCGGAGTGCGTAGGCGCAGCAAGCGCGACGGTGCAGGCGCGTGCGCCAGCGCGGCGGCGCTCGGTACGACGGCAAGAGAGGGGTAGATGGAGGGGGTGGGGCGCTCACGGCCGTTGCCGAGTAGGGGGTCGGCGAGGCTCGACGGAGCCAATGAGGGAGAGATGAGGAGGCGAGGCGAAGCGAAGCGGCTCCGGCGAGCGACGTCCTTCGGCGAGGTCGAGGCGGGAGGCCCTTCCAGTTCTAGGAACGGGGAGGAGGATGAGGACGAGTGCCGGTGGGGAGGAGGCGGCGACGAACGACGAGTTCCGAGCGGCGGCGGCGGGCGCTGGAGGCCTCCAGGCGGCGTCGGCGGCGGTTCAGTCCCCCTGATCCAGATCTGGATCGGGGGGGTGGCGAGGAGAGTGGGGGAAGTGGGGAGTGGGTTACGGGGGAGGTGGGGGTTATGGGGCGCCGGCTGGGCCAGGCCTTACTTGTCTATTGGCCAGCTGGGCCGAGGCGCAGTGGGGGGTGGGGTTTGCCTTTTTTCTGTATTTTTGTATTTTATTTTCTTTTCTCTTTTTATTTATTTTGTTTCTTCACTTTTTATTTATCTTTCTTTTACTGTTTTATATTTTATTTTAGTTTTGTAAAATACAAAAATGATCCCTAAATTTGTGTTACCACTAAACGCACTGCCACAAAAAGTTTGATCCCTAATAAAATAGTTTAACATTTTATAAATTATAAAACGCATTTATTTAATTGTTTATGCCGTTGTTTAAATTATTTTAGTGCAATTAAATACTTCATAAAAGTGTGGTTTCTCCATCATTATTACCTATGCATTATCTGGTTCACACCGAACATTTTAGTTTTAATATTCGAAAACTTTTATTGTTTGCTAGATTCGAATTTGAATTTGAATTGGTTTCGAACTAACACGAGATTAGTGACAGTAATCGAAGTGACGTGGCATATTTAGCAGAGGTTTACTGTAGCTTGATTATCCGAACGTCACATCATGGGCCTAATGGTGAAAGAGAGGAGGCAGGCCAAGGTGTGGCACGCGCCCCCCTAGCCCAAACCGAATTGGACTAGGGCTAGCCCCCCCCCCCTTTCCTTCTGTTCTTCCTCTCCTTCCTTCTTCTCCTATTAGGACTAGGAAAGGAGGAAACCTACTCCTACTAGGAGTAGGATTCCCCTCTTTGGGCACGCCCCTTGTGGCCGACCCTCCTCCTCCTCCCCTCCTTCATATACGGGGGAGGGGGGCACCCCATAGACACACAAGTTGATCTTTAGCCGTGTGCGGTGCCCCCTCCACAGTTTTCCACCTCGGTCATATTGTCGTAGTGCTTAGGCGAAGCCTTATGTCAGTAACTTTATCATCACCGTCGACACGCTGTCCTGCTGACGGATCTCACCCTCGGCCTCAGCTGGATCAAGAGTACGAGGGACGTCACCGAGCTGAACGTGTGCAGATCGCGGAGGTGTCGTGCGTTCGGTACTTGATCGGTTGGATCGCGAAGACGTTCGACTACATCAACCGTGTTACTAAATGCTTCTGCTTTTGGTCTACGAGGGTACGTAGACACACCTCTCCCCTCTCGTTGGTATGTATCTCCTAGATAGATCTTGCATGATCGTACGAATTTTTTTTGAAATACTACGTTCCCCAACAGTGCCGGCTCGCCCTCCCCAACCTCCTCCACAGCTTGCTTCCCCCCACGTGACTTGAGGGCGGCATATTGCACCTTGAACTTCTCCTCGTCCTTGATGACCCGAAAGCAATGGAAGAGGTTGAAGCACTTGCCATTGTGTTGGACCTTGAATGCCTCCAAAGCTTGAAATGGCTACAAAATGTTTCCATACAAGCATATGGGCAAATGAACACGCAAGCATGAACTTGATGACACAAAAGAGGGCGGCTTGCTAGCATACCATGCCTTGCATGCCGATGCTGCTCATAGGGCGGGCCTTGATGCTCTCAAGAGTGGCACAAAACTTGTTGCACTCTTGTTGGATCACCCTCCATCGCTTGGAAATGGACACCCACCCGCGCGTGCTCACAATTTGATAAGGCGGAACTTCTTGCGCTCATGAAACTCCCGGTGGACATGAATCCAAAAAGTTGAATGCTTTTGTTCGGCGCCCGTCTTGGGGTCTTGTCCAATGTCTCGCCAACACTCGCAAAGAAGCTTGTCCTCGGCAGCCGTGTATGCCTTCGTGCGCTTGCTCTTGCGCTTCGAATTAGGACCGGCGGCTTGGTTGGCGAGCTCGTCCTCGAACAAAGGCTCCACTTCGATGTCGCACTCGTTCTCTTCCTCTTGCCCGTAGTCGTCCGGGAACTCGTGGTTGAGTGGGAAGCCGTCCAGGTCCATGTCGACCTAATCGCGCATGAAGGCCGCCTGATCGGGATCATAGCCAGCGGCCGGCGTGAACGCTCCGCGGCTGTCCTGGCTTTGTGTCTCGTCACGATCGTAACCAGCGGCCGGCGCGCCGCCCTCGAAGATGAGGTTCTGCATGTAGTCCTCCTCAACGGCGGACGGCATTCCCACTCGTTGCCGCCGTGACGCGGGCGTTGGTGACCTCCTGCTGCGCGGCAGTGGCGACAGCGGCAGTCGCGTAGGCTTCATCCCTCGCGTCCGCGGCGTGCCTCCGGCTCTTCCTCTTGGCCGATTCCCTTACCCGTTGTTCAGGCGTCAGCGCCTTCTTTGGCTTGGGCGCGGCGACGGTCTTGCACGGGGCACGAGGCTTGCCTTTGCCGGAGCGTCGAGGTCGTCGTCCATGGAGGGTATGGGCGGGAGCGCGCGCGGACGGGGGGTTTTTGGAGAAAATGGGGAGAAATGGTGGTGGCTGCCACCGACCGGCGGGCCCAGGGAGAGGAGTAGGCGCGCGCGCACATCCATCTCGTGTCCGTGCCGACGCAAATCCAGCTCAAAGTTGGGCCGGAAATGGGTCGCCATGCGGACGCCACTGGACACGCTTCAGTTTGGGTCGGTGCATTAGGCCGCTTTTTGTGTCCACGCCGATCCAAACGGACGCCAGCAGATGAAATGGGTCGCCCCATTGGAGTTGCTTTAAAGGACAGGTGGTTGATGTTTTCGTTTTCATGACAGAATCCGGTTCCTTCTTATCATAGTCTTTTGTGGCTATAGCATTATGCCAAATTAATCACATTGTCTTTCATGGCTATAGCATTATGCCAAATCAACCACAGCCAGATTTTGATTTTCAAAGGGATCTTGGCTTTCCATACATGTTTGAAAGGTCTGACAGGTTTGACAGTGAACTTGTTTTTATTATTCCATGTCCAAACTATTATGGTAAGGTTTTTACACAAGCTATTGGAGTTGCTCCTATATCATGAACAGTTTCGCTTGACAAAAAATGGCAGTTCACCTGTCGTTTACTGGAAAAATAGACAAGCATACAGATGCGGTCGGAGCTCGAATGCCTCCACACTCTAAGCTAGCCGTCCTGAACCAATCGCTTCCTCGCCATTGGAGGCTGGACCTCCACCAAAACAGCCCCAAGGCTCGAGCAGGACAGTGCGACAAGGACGGTCACAAACACAATAGTGAGGAACGACAGGAAGGCTGAGATTTCATGCAGCTCATGACCAAATGGAAACACACTGAATTTAACATACTTCCCCATCGAGGCATCTACTGCATTTATACACAAACAGGGTTCGTGGGTATAACGATCAGCGCAACTCCAAAGCGACTAAGCCTAATATGGCAGCAGCAGCACAGTATCTTTCAGCCTTCTACAAAGAGCAGTCCAAAAAGGTATCAGGACGTTGGGCAGTAATTTCCTGTTGAAATTCTCTATTCCATAGATGACGAGGTCGGTTTATTTACACAAGCGCACCAGCGTACAAGATAACCACTCACAGTGCTCATCATAGAAATGTTCCAGACACACCAACGCACGTTGTTAACAGTCATATGAACACTGGGATGATCGGATATCATGACCAGGGCAGGCAGCAAAATCATCGATTAGACCTGGCGGCAGCAGGGAATTATGCAATCCAGATTACGTTTCCATGCTTCTTAAGATCAGCACCAATAGACGTGAGCTGCAAAATTAGGTGTAGTTTCAATTCAGGAGCAGTGAATTTATCTGGAACAGAATATAACATCAAACTTGAGATGCATATGAAACACCCAGCTCTTAGAAATGAAAATGGATCAAATAGTCAGCAAATTGATCATTCTTGTGCTGAAAAACAAAGGTAACTATGGAAGGCAATTACACCATCTATAAATGTATCAAAATTTGAAGACACATGTGTTCTAAAGAAAGCCCATAGGATACCCTCTATAGAGTACGTAGATTGGTTAACTACTGAACTAAAATACTACTCCCTCCGTCCTGAATTACTTGTTGCGGAAAATATACCTCTACACCGATGATCAAGTCCAGATTGTCAAGAAAATGTTTGCAAACCAAGAAACTATAATGCACTAACGGGCCATTCTGATCAGTTGTTGGCAATAAGCAGCATGGAAAAGTTTGTAACCCCAAACTGCAAACTAACCATGGTGCCATGGAGAAAATAAGTTGAGAGCGGTTGCTGTTAAAACAATATTTCTGGACTCAGTAAACTTGTCGAATCATATAACCATTTCCAGAGCATGATTACAGTTTATAGTTCAATATATCTATTAGATTTAAACACTACTTAGCACATCCATCTGTTGTACAAGGAGGTGATTGTATTCTTATTAAACACAAGTTACAAAATTCTAAGCCTGATTGGACGTACACTATTTCCAAGTGACAACTTGAATATTTAAAAGATGCAAATGTTGGGTGTGAGATTGCTATAACGCTGTTCTCCAAAAACGACGAACTGCAACAGTATTGCGGGATATTATTATGGTTTACCTTCTAGCCAAATGCATAAGGGTCATCAGCATATGGATTCAAGGAGCCCTCAGAAAATAATTCACCAATATTGGCAGGATGGGGACGGGATCCTGCAACAACCTGCAGAATGCCAATTCATAAATGTCAAAAGTAATGCAGAACATATGTCACGCAGAGAATCATCATGCTCAGAATGCTTGTCCATAGACAGTTTCTGAACAGATTTTTTATTGCAAAATCAATCACTGTAGAAAAGCAGAGCATGGCTAATGCTTTAAATTGTTTTCTTTCATGCTTACTCAGAACATTGCTAGATACAGTGGGTACACCAAGAGAAAAAAATGGTGACGTCACAAGAGAATAACAAGGAAACAAAGAGTGTGGACTGTGGAGCATTGGAGACTAACTGGTAAAAACACTCGAACAACATTTTCCTCACATTTTGAATGATATCACTGACTACAGTCTAAGGAAAAGTTGTAGCAAAACCTGGCTGCATTGCACCCCAGGCTTACAGTCTGAACTCTACATGGAGTGGTGTTCAATGTGCCATAGTAAATACTCCCTCCGTTCCTAAATGTAAGCCTTTTTAGACATTTCAAATGGACTATAACATACGGATGTATGTAGACATATTTTAGAGTATAGATTCACTCATTTTGCTTCGTATGTAGTCATTTGTTGGAATTTCTAAAAACACTTATATTTAGGAACGGAGGGAGTAAGATGCATGACTTCTTAAGAGAAACACAATTAGTTACCATTCTTGAATAATCAAACAGAACATATCATTTAGCTAGGATCAGGATTTCAAGAAAACCAACTAAGATTATGTTTGTAAGAGCGTCCATCTGAGGAAACATTAAACTGGAAAGTCTGTTAATACAAAAGTATTGGTTAAACCTTTGAAAATCAATACTGGGAAGTTGAAGTACACAGTTATCCTATATAACTAAGTAGTTGATCCCCACTAACATATTTATGTAATTAACCCTTATACAGGTTAATTTGATAAATGCCACTCCAAATCTGGCGATTCCAAGAAATGCCACTGCAATTTCCAAACTTTGAAAAATGCCATTTCCAGTGGCATTTTTCAAAGTCTGGAGTGGCGTTTTTCAAAGTTTGGTAATTGCAGTGGCATTTTTTTATGAATAGACATAATTGGAGTGGCATTTATCTAATTAACCCAATCTCTAATCAAATCTTACTGAAATATATTACAAGCAATTCCCGCAACAACGTGTGGGGTATCATCTAGTTTGTACTGATCATCATACCTTTCTTGTTTTTGTAACATCCTTGTCAACAGTATTTTGCAATGACTTCTGAGTATTCGGTTCCTGGATGATAAAAGACAGTATTAAAATGAATGAACAGGCAGGCAATCAAACCCAAAGAAAAAACAGGAAAAACTTGTACCCCAAACATGACAGTGCTCTTAGTTTTCCTGCGCTTTGTGATTTTTCCATTTGCTGTCTCCACTTCATATTCATGGTGTGTTACCTAATTAAAGGAATGCCAAAAATGGCAATAAAATACACAGCATGTAAAGATGCATTTTCAGACTAACTGAAAATGAAACCTAGTTCATACCCAAAAATGGATGAAAGAAAGAATCTATATGTAACAAAAATCACCTTTCTGTGATTAGTAACATCCTGACTTGCTTTCTCTACCTTCCTCAGTACGTTAGAAATTGGCGAGTGTATAACTCCAGATATGTTTACATCCTGAAACACAACAGAGAACATTCAAGTTTGAAGTTTCTAAAATGCGGGGCAATCAAGTTTATCGTTGAAGAGAAGATATCTTACCTTCCGTTTGGTCTCAGGACCTGGACCTGGCAACTGAAGCTGACTTTCTTTTCTGACATATGGATCTCTCCTCTTTATCAATGGAAGAGAGAATTTGTAACTTAATTATTTCATAATGAATGCCTACAAGTTAATTATGAGATGAACTAGAAAGGAAAACCAGCAAATGGCTAACATTATAATAGTAAAAGGGCAGGATATGGACTGAGAAACTAAGTGATCCTGCCCCAAAATAACGAAATTATAATAAGCAATTTTTCAAGTAGAACATATGCGGCTATTTTTTTCTTGAATTCTTAACATGCTTTGCCACCAAGCAACAAAAATTAAATAGATACCATATACACATTGCTTAGCAAAATAGTGAAATGCAGTTACCAGGCTTGACAAGAGCATATACCTTTTTAGAATTAACTTCCTGATCAACTTGTTGACTTTCGCCCATCACTTTCCACTGTAACTGTAATAATGCTCTTTGCTTCTCCTCCTGCACCAAACACTGTTCAGTATAGTTTCGATTCACAGCCTTCAGAAGAAAAAGGTGTCAAGAATCACCACCTTTGACTTCTGAAGCTCCAGTTCATCCTGTAGTTTCTGACAATCTTCTTCATGTCGAATGTTCACTGTTTTTATTTGAGCTTCATGCTCTTGTCTGAGCGACGACAGCCTCTACATTTTTTTACAGATTTAGTTAGTTAAAAAAACTGACGCTATCAAAACATCTGGTTCAACTTATGACTGACCTCCCTCAATTCATTCTCACCCTGAGAACGAATGCGCTGCAATTCTTCTTTGTGATAAGCCCGAAGAGTTGATTCCTTAAGCTCATTATCCTGTTGAATTCTTGCCACCTGGATATCAGGAAACAACCTCCGTTGTCATTTCAGGAGAAAAACAGCTCTGCTGTACATCTTCACTATAGTATGCAGTATTCCCTAGTCCTGACAGACTGACACCATGCAAACAGTCTTTTGGACAAGTGTATACTGGTGCTATAATGAAGGATTCTACTGGTAACAATATGATTATGGAAGTTCCAAGATTGACAGCAGCATTTTGAGCATAGCTCTATCTGTACCTATACTAAATAGCATCTCTGAACTGCTTCTGTTGCTAGACAACTATATAAAGTGGTTTCTGGTAAATTTTCCACTTCAAACATCAGGTATTTTGATTGCTTAAGATCTCATGATGCTTTAAACCAGTCTAAAGATCATTAGTAAGAAATATAAGAGCTTACAGAGGGAGTAATGTACATTGGTGAAATATACAGTGTGGTTTTCGAACTTTTCACCAGTATGTTACAGATAATTAAATAATAAAAGATAAAGTGGATGGAAATGTTACTCTAAAGCAGTTTGAAGATACTTTGAACTCATTTAGATGTCAGCGAGTACTTCCGTATAACTTCCTATACAGCTTACATGTCAAGTCTAATTAGAGCAAGAATACAAGATACCAAGAAAACTCGGCAGTTTTTTAGGTATTAAAGCCTCTTCAACAGTGAGCAACGTGCAAGAACAAACTTCCTTAGAAGTCTGACATGCGGTTATGTATCCATGCTATCTGAAGGCTAAGCTGAACCGTTCAGCTTACTTTGTTTACTACTCTAGTGCTAACATATTCCATCAAAATCGGTACATGCATTGTCATTATAACTAGATTGTGAATATTTATTTGTTTCAAAATAAATGTAGCCTTTATTGAGAAACCAAACTAGCTCTACCTACCACTGCGGCATGTTCCTCCTTAAGACGCATCAAGCACCTCTCAGATTCTCGCTTGTTCTCTAATATCTTTTCGTTGCATTTGTGCTCCATTTCCCTTATGAGTTTTTCTGCCTGAAATTCAGAACAGTAGGATAGACAGAGTAGCAATCATATTAAGATACCAAATATCTAGCATAAAGAACTTTGAAAGGGAAGAGATGATTTACCTTCTCTTTTTCAGCACTAATGATTTCTACCTTTTCTAATTCATATTTCTTACGGATGACATTGATTGCCTGGAAAATCATTTGTAGACTGTCATTTGTGATTCAGAAGAGAAGTGCTACACAATAAATAGAAATGTGATACCTGATCATTTCTGAGTGACAACTCTTTCAAATGTTTTGATAGCTCTATCTGTTTACCCTGAAGCATGAGATCGTACTGTTTTTTGGCCTCGGTAAGTTGACATTCTGTGGCAGCAAGTGATGCTTGGATCTGGGCAAGAGGTTGAAAAGGTTATATGTTGCCTACAGTTCTACACTCTACAGATCATTACATCATGAGATTGCAAGATATAATAAACACAAACCTGTAACTTTTGTTCCTCCAAACTCTTCTCTCTTTCTACAGAAGAAATATACAACTGTTCCTTCTCATCAAGAACACTGCGGAGCTCACTGATCTGTTTTTCTTGTGTGTCAACCTGCTGGTCACGCTTAGCAATCTCGCTGTGCAGTGATTCTGTATCGTTAGATTTCTCATCCAAAACTGACTGCACTCTGCCTAGAAGCTCCTGATTATCTGATTCTAGCTTCAAAGTCTTCTGTAACAGCTCTTCCTGCAAAATTCCAATTTCATGAGTAAGGAAGAATACAAGTTAAATAGTACTACCTCCGTTCCAAATTACTCGGCGCAGAAATGGATGTATCTAGAACTAAAATACATCTAGATACATCCATATCTGCGACAAGTAATTCGGAACGGAGGGAGTAGCAGTTATCTGTTTATTCGTAACCAGCTAGTTGCGAACCTTCTGATTTTCAGCAAGGCTAGAATCCTCCAGTAACTTTTGAACTCTCCCTTGTAGTTCCGAAGATAACCTTTCTAAGGAATTCACATTGGAGGCAGATACTTCTGCTTCAGACTCCAGTCTTCTGATTTTATCTTCAGCCACTTGGCATTCTTCTACATGCTGAACCATAACAGCTTCTTGAGTTTTTTGTAACTCTGTGATTCTGGACTTCAGTTCTCCAATTTCACTGTTGAGACCACTATTTTCTGATGTCAAATCTACAAACTGGTTTTGAAGATGTTCCAGTTTGTCCTTAGCAGATCTTGTTATCAGCAGTTTCTCCTCTTGGACCATTCCATAGTACTTATCAAATGAAGAAAGCAATCTAGCGACATGACTTGACATTGATGCATGCTCTTTATCTAGCTCAGCTACCTTAGCCACAAAACTGCTAAGCAATTCATTAGCATCCTTATTGTCCTTGTACAGTCTTTCGACTTCCAGACTGTATCTCTGGTTCCTAAGCTCCAAGTCATTCTTTTCTTTTTCAGCAGATGCAAGGTTTTCTTTCAGGCAAATGCAAACATCTTGCTTTAGCTTTAACTCTTGCTCCATGCACTGCAAGCGGGAGTCAGCACACAATAAGCGGGATTTATTTTCTTCAACTGAACCCTCCAACTGTTTGATGAGAGAATCTGCATTAGAAAGCAAAGACAGCTTAATGCTTGTTATCACTACCGCTCGCTAATATGACTTGTCTCCTCAGTAAATTGGTACAGAAAAGCTAACACTTACCTTTTTCCTTTATGGTAGTATCATTTGCGTAAAGCTGTTCCTTGTAACTCTGATCCATTTCTTCTTTCTCTTGTTTGATCCGCAAAATCTCCTGTTTACCTGAGTAAATGGGACAGTTGACAATGTTATCACATTATTATGTAAATATTCCTGCTGAACATTTCACTATTGAGGGGTCAGCAAAAAACAGACCTGATGTGTTATCAATTGGGAGCTTTGCTCCTTAATTCGAAAAAAAGTTGTAAATATATTTAGCAGACTGCTAATTATTCTATCTATAAGCATATCATATAAATAAGCACAGAATTGAAAATGACATCAGAGTTTAGATGCATAAACAACAGTATAGCAGATAGGGGCACGCACATAGGCGATATGCAGTGTATAGTGGTGAGTTACCTAGTTGTCAGCATTCTAAAAGATTGGCACTAACTGAGAAGTGAGAAGAGACAAACCGACCTGACATGATGCTTTGTTCTGCACATTCCAGCTTTGCCGAGGAATCATGCAGCAAGCAGTTCAATTCATCTAAAGCTTTAGAGTTCTTCCCAAGCATCCCCTCGAAAAACTTCTTATCTTCCTCAGCTGCCATTGCATTGTTTTGCCAGTTAGATCTAAACAACAGGTGTGCATGAGAAAATGCCACAAAAAACATTACCTCTTTCTGCCTGACTTGCTAACTGCTGCAGAGTTTCAGTTAACTGATCGCACAGCATCTTTGTTGAGGAAACTTTTGAATCTAGCCCCTGCCAGAGCTTCGAATCCTCAGTCTGCTTTACCTTAAGCTTCATGTTTTCGTTGACAGCTTGTTGAAGCTTTGCTTCTAACATATTTATCTGTTCTGTTGCTCTTCTCAGCTTGGTATGCTAAAGTTATATAACGCGTGTGCATCAGTAATAGGATATTCTGTGAGAAACTAATTTAATATGTTGCTATGTAAAAATACTGCAATATGATATAATTTTGTTTTGTACTTGAGCCAACATGCCATGACAGCAGAGCACTGGAACATCTAAAGCATGAAGGGTGACTGGTAAAGTGGTAACCAAAATCTCATACATATGACATTCTGAATTTAATAGAACTAGATGCAACAAGCATATAAGTCATTGTGACACGGTGGTGATTATAAAGGACAAGCCTGTATTTAAATAAGTTCAGGACTAGCCATCAGAAATAAGCCCATTGAAATAAGATAAATGAGAAATGAGAAATCGGAATTTCACCTAATCTGCCATACGTTTAGCAGAACCTAAAGACAGAAACATATCCTATATTTTCCAGGTGAGCAATATACAGAGCTCCTTCACAAAAATAGGTCAACACTTTAAAGGATGGATACTACCAGAGAAACAAACACCGAGTATGCTTCATATAACATGCCATAGGTTTAGCACAGTTACATATATGTAACATATGGGGAAATAAAGGGAATCTAAACACCGCAGAAGGACGCATAAATCATGAGATTCAGACTACATATAACACATGCAGCCCCAGAACGATAAAGTTTCACATTAGTATGCTGTGCTACCACCTTTTTTGGTCTAGCATTTCACTGTCATGTCAATGTTGCATACATGATTAAACAATGGGTTAACAAGGATACTGCAGTTCATCTGTTTTGCACACAGAGTAATAAAAAACATCACAGGATCCAAGACAAAACGAGAAACAGAAAAACTACCCTTGTGTTATGCGAGCAGAGTAATACAACTGGGACATAGCATACAACTATGCAATTTTGGCATTGATGAACCAGAAGACAGATGGTCTTCAATCGGCTCCACCCAAACAGATAACAATTCTATGCAGAAACCTAATTAGTGGCACGGTGACAGGATGTTTGGCTAAATTTCAGAAACAATTCGCAGTTCATACAATTGAATGGTAGGAATTCGCTCAGTCAAGTGCCCGACAGATGACCAAAAACTGCATAATGTTCAGAAATGTACCGCCATTTCTAGATCAGACTTCACTGAAGCCTGCTCCTTGACTAATTTCTCTGCAAATAGACAGAAATTAAGAGGAATCGGGAAATCAGTGCAACGCACGAAATAAACAGCCTCCTCAATCAAAGCAGAGAGAGAGAGAGCAAATCGGTACCTGCTGTGATCTTAAGGTTGGCGAAGCTCCCGTATGTGCTACCTCCAGCATCCGACGAGGGCTTGGGGTTCGTGGCCTTCCCAGCCGTAGAGGTGGCACCAGCGAGAGATCGGAACCCATCGAGGCCCCTAAGCCCCGAGAGCCCTAGCTTCTGCATCCTGTCGCCGAACCCTAGGTTTCGCCGGGGGCGGGAGAACTGCGGCCAGAGCAGGAGAGGATCTAGATGGTTCACCCCAAATTTCTGGAGGTCGGTGGAATTTAACTAGTCGCAGCATGTCGAAATGCTCGTACCTCGGGAACCAACGGATAAAACCGCGGGCGGGGTTGAGATAGCGGGGGCGCGGTGAGGTGTAGGACGGGAACGGCGACGGTGGAGGCGACGCGCGTGAGAGGCGGATGGGTTGGGGTGAGGCGGCGGCGGCGGCGGCGGCGGCGACGCTATGCTACGTCACGGCGACGGCCGCAGCACCGGGGCGCACGGGCCGCGGAGGAGTGAGAGGGGGGGAGGAAGGTACTGGACGAAATGGCGGAGAGGACGGTGGAGGGGATGGGTTTTGACTCCGCGCTACAGAGTTCGCGCGCTTGGCCGCGCGGCTCGGTTTTGGGCCTGTTGGTTCGTTTACTTCTTGTGGGCTTCTTTCGGAATACATTTCCGTGTCCCCTACTCCTTCGTGGGGTTACTAAAAGAACTCCTTCATTTCTCAAAAAAAAAACTAAAAGAACTCCTTCACCAAAAAAAAAACTAAAAAACTCCTTCGTGGGGGAAAGCACAGGAAAATCGTTGCAACGAGACCAATGCGCGTATGTCGGTTACGGTCACACGCTCCAGGGCAGCGATCTACTGTTATCTGTTATCTTTTTTCAGGCAGCGATGTACTAGTACTCCTGGTATCAAGTCATGTTTTAATATTTGATATATCTGTATTTAGATAAATCTAATACAAGAATTTTGGAACGGATGAAGTATTTTTTTTACAGCTCCCACGAAATGTTGGGATCTGGTTCATTGGGGCTTTGGAGGGCGTTGATTGGCTCATTTGTAAGTGGATGTATCGCTGTCGGTAGGCCCACTATAGTCGGTTGTGTTCGGTCTACCTCATTCACTCCCGAGCGCCCCTGCTAGGGTTTCTGCTTGCCACCCGCGCCCGTCTGTCGCCCTACCACCGCCGGTGGATCTCCTTTCCGGCGGTACCTCCTGCTTCGCCATTGTCGTCACGCTCCTCTCGGCCCGCCGGCGTCATGGCCGCCCTCCCTCCTACTCGCACGTTGTCATCGAGGCTTCCCCTATTCCTCTTCGATACGGTTGCCCCTGTCTCCATCTCAACATGGCACCCGCCGGGTTCGGGTGCGGGTAATGGTCGCCCAAACTCATACCCGTGTCATTATTTTTTGCCCATACCCGTACCCTTACCCGCACATCGGGTTTCAAACTATTCCCATGCCCATACCCGGCTGGGTGCAGGTAATACCCGCAGGTAAAAAATACCCATCTCAATCACCTTACCCAGTTCACACTTCATCATGTATTTTTCAACATTTACACATATATACCTAACATTTCGCATGTATACTTCAACATTCAATACATATATACCACATTTTAGCATTTGAGCACATATAGATGATGATTTGTTGTGCGATGGAATAAAAAGAATGATATTGATTTTCAGAAATGGATAGCAATAAGCACGAAATACATGGGTGAGTAGCATGTACGTGAATTTTTAGAGAAACATTCACACCTATTCTTTTTTTAATTTCAAGACAAACAAGACATATACGATTTTCTCTAATTTTCTTTTATTGAAGGTAATTTTGCATCCCCTTGTTCGAAATAATGAACCGAAGGAGACTATATAATAAGATTAACAGAACCGCGAGTTCACAAAACAAGATCAACACATTTAAATAAGTTCATGCACATGCGTAAGGAGAGAGGATTTTGGGTTGAGGTTACAATGGCTAGGTTCCTTTAGTGAATGACACATGGGGCCTAATGTTAGAAGAAATTAGTTTATGGGTATACGGGTACGCGGGTGCACGGGTATGGGTATTGCATTCCCATACACATACCCGGCTTACCGGATGGGTACAATTTTTCTCCATTTATAAACCCATGGGTATTTATTTGTTCCAAACCCTTACCCTAATAGGATTTTTACCCGCCGGGTTCGCGGGTTGCGGGTACCCATTGCCATGCTGATCTCCATCTACTCGCCACCGCTACAACGCGCCGCTCTCTGCCCCGCTGCCATCCCATCACCATCTCTACCACCTTGATTCACTCATAGAGTCACTGGTACACGTCAGTCCTAAACAAACGGTCTTTAACCCCTTTCCGCGACGACATTTGGAACCGTTGCCAAGTGAGTGTGTGCGATAGGGTGTCCTTCCCACACGATCCAGAAATCATCGGGGATAGGCCCTCCTGGGATCCAGGCTGGGGTCGTGTGCGATCGGACGAGGCATCGAAACCCAATCATTTATGTAGGTATGTACACCCCACACGGTAATTAGAGAAAATCATTTCCGTAGGTATGTACATCCCACACGGTGAATCCCAGAAAAACACTTCCGTTCGTATGTATATCACATACAGTCAATCCAAGGAATACGTTTCCATTCTTATGTACATCTCAGACAGTCAATCAAGGGAAAACGTTTCCGTTCATATGTACATCCCACACAGTTTTATGTATACGCTCGTGTGTGAAAGGTATAATTATCACACACGCTCTGCCTGGGTCAACTGTTTGCTTTCATTAACTACATCACACACGATTTGATGTAGGAAACTATGTGGCATTGGGCTATCCATCACAAGCCTTTTTACTCCAGAATCGTTTGCAAAGTTCCATGACTGTCTGTTCTCTTTTAATCTTTTTCCTATAATTTATTATTCTAATTGGAAATTTTGAAATATGAAACATGCAATTCAAATTCTCAGCACAATGGTTCAACAATGAATCCATAAATAAAATTGCCAGTATAATATGTTCAGTAATTACAGGATTAGGCAGCAATTAACTATGATGAACCACAATATTTAAAGGCGGTAAAGGTGAAGAGACAAGTGTAAATCATTTTGGCTGCCGATGGTGTTGAAGAAGCGGAATGCCCATAATGTCCAACCCCTTGTGACGATCGCTCATCCATCCTTCACTGCCTTCAGAAAGACTTCTAGAGCATTATCATGGTAGCATGAATTATATATTTTAATCTTAGTTTCCTCCACTCCGGTCATGTAGTTTGCAAGGTAATCATCAGTAAGTAGCTTCGGAACCCACTAAAAAGAGAAAAATATCAAATACTGAGATCTAATAAAGTAACTTGTTGTGGGAAGGGGGAAAAGGCAACACATTACTCACCGTCCTAAAGTTCACTGTTGTCTTTGACAAAGTGTAAATAAAGAGCTTAATTCCAATAACCGTTTCTTTCGCCTAACAATCTTTCTTAGTTTCCTCACTTGACGCTTGTTCATGAATATCTCATTGCCCCATACGCAAAAGGGATCAAAGCGTGGATCAGTACCGCTCATATATGTACCTAAAAGCAACCAGTAAATGTTAGAAGCTAAACTGAGATTGCATAAATGATGTAAAATACAACTACCCATGTTCCTAAGTACAAGTATTTTTTAAGATTTCAATATGAACTACATACGGATGTATATAGAATTATAGATATAGTTTAGATTAGAATCTAGATTCACTCATTTTGCTCCTTATGTAGTCTATATTGGAATCTCTAAAAATACTTATATTTAGGAATAGATGGTGTATAAGACATGGGATGCAGCTAACCTCGACGGCAAACAACAACATCGCCTATTGTACCCCTGTGTAAGTACATGGAAAGCCAATGTTAACTACAACAGGGTTAACATCCACCAAAAATAGCAAATGGTAATAAAACGACAGCATCTGTAGTGATATCTTCATTTCGAAACAGTACCACGGTAGCAAAGGGACGGATTAAAAAATAGATACAACTATTAATTGCAACAGGCTTAACAACATCCTAATTCATATTTTCTAAGTTTGTATTCATTTAAATACAACTCTTTAAAAATGGATGCAATTGTTAATTGCAACAGGCTTAATGGCCATTGAAACCGATACTGATGAAAATGCAATTGACAGAGTTAAACATCACAGAGCAGGTGCTGCGAGAGCAGATAATTGCCCAGTTGTCTATAAAAAGATAGGGAAATAGCTAAAATGTGTTAGACATGTTTACTACAACATGCTTAATACATCGACAGTACAAAACATACCCATTATTTGCAACTGGTATTGGTAAGATTGAACTTGTGGGTACATACTTGGTAAGTCCTGAGAGGTAGTTGCTGGGACACTTCATCTTGGCCAGAGCCTGCCCAAAGTCAGCGGCGGCGGAGGCGAGTTGTTCCCCCGGGTCGAAGCGTGGATCAATGCCACTGACATGTGTACCTACAGGCAACCACTAAATGGTAGAAGTTAAACTGCAATTGCACAAATTATGTGAAATACTGTAAGACATGGGATGCAGCTAACCTCGACGGCAAACAACAACATCGACCGTTATGACCCTGTGTAAGTACATGGACAAGCATATTAAGTACAACAGGGTTAGCATCCACCAAAAATAGCAAATGGGCAGCATCTCTAGTATATCTTCATTGCAGAGAGTAGCATGGTAGCAAATGGACAGATTAAAAAATGGATACAACTGTTAATTGTAACAGGCTTAACAACATCCTAAGTCATATTTTGTAAGTTTGTAGCCATTGAAATACAACTATTTAAAAATGGATCCAGCTGTTAATTGCAACAGGCTTAATAGACATTGAAACCGATACTGATAAAAATGCAATTGGCACAGTTAAACATCACAAGACAGGTGCTGCCAGAGCAGATAATGGCCCAAATGTCTATAAAAAGGTAGGGAAAGTAGCAAAAACATGCTAGGCATGTTTACTAGAACATGCTTAATACACCGTACAGAACATAGCCATTAATTGCAACTGGTATTGGTAAGAATGAACTAGAGAGTACATACTTGGTAAGTCCTGAGAGGTAGTTGCCGGGGCACTTCATCTTGGCTAGAGCTCTCCCAAAGTCAGCGACGGCGGAGGCGAGCTGTTCCTCCGGATCGAAGTGTGGATCAGTGCCACTG